AGCGAGCTCTGACGCCGCTCGCCACCGCCGCCACCGCGACGGGAGCGCGCACGCTGCTCGCGCCGTGTCGTTTCCCGTGGGGGTTCGGCCAATCGTCTTCCAGCTGGCTTCGCCCCGCCCTGCCCCTCCCGCGAAGGGTTCCGCCCTAACGGCCGCTGGGCGCGTGCACGCGCGCTGGCCCCGCCCCCTCCGAGCCCAGGTCTCGCGAGAACGTTGCTCTTTTAGCCCACTCTGGTGCCTGGTCGGCCCCGGGCGCTAAGCCCTGCGCTGCAGACTGCGGGTCATCTAGGCCCTCTCTGCTTGCTGCGCTGGCGGCCCAGCCCCAAATTAGCAAGTGCCAAGCTTAGAGCGAGTCGGAGTAAGTAGTTCGGCGGAAGTTCTCAGGGTTGGTGCGTTCCCGACGCATGCTGGCGGAATCGCGAACCAGTAGGAAGGCCCAGCCCGAGCCGAGGACGCCTAACCCTTTATCCTCGGGCTTTTTGCCACTGCCCCTCATCTGTGTCCTAGCTGGGACACGTCAGGTTCAAGAAATAACACGCGACATCAGCTCACCGGAAAGCAGGCGTCCCGATGCTTTTGCTACGTTTAGGACAGCTGGAAGCTGCTAGCCTACATTCGAGTCTGTGCAGTGAGAACTGGGGGTGGGCCATGTTACACAGCGGCGTGTCCGGGACAGGGTCCATCAGACAGCCTCCTAGCTCCTTGGCAGGCTGTCACCCTGCACTCCTACGCCTTGCTTACTGCGATAGTAGTTGATTTCTTAATCTCACGGCTGGTGGGGGTGACAGAATAACTCATCCTCGTGAGGCCCAAGTGAGCCAACTGGAAATACCTAGGCCACGGCTGCACACTGGTTTTCCAAACTGGAAAAAAAAATAGGGTGATTCTTTTAAGCTGAAACGTCGCTACTTTCTAGATACTTGGAAGGGAAATGATGGAGTTTTTGTTTTCTGTTTCATTACAATTGCACACTCATTGAACAATTTAAGTATAATTAAATACTGGACCAATAGAAACGATAGTCATGTTATCTTCAGTAATTTGCACAAAAAAAAAAGCTACCAATTATTTAGAGAACTATTTTTGAGATAGGGTGTCACTGTTGTGAGAAAAATTGGTCCTCGTTAAATAAGTGAGAATGTTCAAAAGAAACAAAAAAATGAGAATGCTGGAGACTCAGCGAGCACAGGGAATGAGACATTATTTTTCAGTTCTGCAGAAAGCTGGGCGTCACCCTGACACAAAAGGCAAAGTAGCTGAAGTGCGGATTTGACATAAAACTTTTTTTTTTTTTTTTGGTTTCTCGAGACAGGGTTTCTCTGTGTAGCTTTGCGCCTTTTCCTGGAACTCACTTGGTAGCCCAGGCTGGCCTTGAACTCACAGAGACCCACCTGGCTCTGCCTCCCGAGTGCTGGGATTAAAGGCGTGCGCCACCACCGCCCGGCGACATAAAACTTTTTTGTTTTGGGTTCTTGTTTGTTTTTTAATTCCCTTGTTGCATGTCTCTCCACCCTTTAGTTTTCATTGGCTGAATTCTTTAGGGACATAAAAATCTTCCTAAATTTTAATATTCCCCTTCCCCAAATTCCTCAGTCTTTTGGTTCAAGACACAAAACATCCAGCTGGGCAGTGGTGGCGCACGCCTTTAATCCCAGCACTCAGGAGGCAGAGGCAGGCGAAACTCTGAGTTCAAGGCCAGCTTGGGCTACAGAGTGAGTTCCAGGACAAGCCTCAGCCACACAGGGAAACCCTGTCTTAAAAAACAAAAAAAGACAAAAAACATCCAGTGAATGTCTTGTAGCCCAAGATTCCTTCTGATTTCTGAGCCCAGTTGGGTAGTTGACCAACTGTAACTTTTCAACCCTTGGATCAACTGAGAGGGCCTAGACAGGACAGGCACCTAGCTGCCAGCTAGGGAATATAGGGGCCTAGTGCCTCCTGCTTATCCATGATTCTAAAACAAGCTTTATCTAGCAATGGACCAAATGACTTATTCCTTACACTGTATAGCTCAATCAAGCTGCCCTGAAACTTGCAATCCAGCCTTAGCTACACCACAATTAAGCAGGTACCACAATGTCTGGTTCAAAAACTCTAAATTCTAAACATCTCCGAATACTTGCAGATATCATTTGAAAATTGTACAAGAGGAGCTGGAGAGAGCTTTAGCGATTTGAAGCACTGGCTGTGCCGCATGCCTTTAATCCCAGCACTCAAAGGGAGGCAGAGGCAGGCGGATCTCTGTGAGTTCGAGGCCAGCCTGGTCTACAAAGCGAGTTCCAGGACAGACTCCAAAGTTACCACGGACCTGCTTCAAAAAACAAAAATAGCCGGGCGGTGGTGGCGCACACCTTTAATCCCAGCACTCAGGAGGCAGAGCCAGGCGGATCTCTTAGTTTGAGGCCAGCCTGGTCTACAGAGCAAGATCCAGGACAGGCACCAAAACTACACAAGGAAACCCTGTCTCAAAAAAAAAAAAAAAAAAAAAAAAAAAAAAAAAAAAAAAAAAAAAAAAAACAAATAAATAAAAGCACTGGCTGTAGAGGACCCAAGTCCTCAGTTCCCATCACCCACATGACAGCTCATAACCCTCTAACTCCAGTGCCAGAGGATCTGATATTCTCTTCTGGCCTCCAAAGGCACCAAGCATACATATGCACATACATACATTGAGTTAAAACAGTCGTATGCATAAAAAAATTTTAAAGGAAATTGATGTACAATAGTAGAAAACTGTACAAATTAAATATATTCTAGAGAGATGCACTATTACAAATACAGTATTATCCTGAAAAAGACATCCTTGGTAAAATACTGAGTAACTGTTTGAGGGGCTTTTTGGGTTTTGTTTGTTTGAGACAGTACCTCACCATGTAGCTGTGGCTGGCCTAGAACTGACTTAGACCAAGCTGGCCAGTAACTCAAAGAGAGCTGCTTGTCTATGCCTTGTTACCAGGTGTTCTGGTTTGTAGGGTTTAATCTAATTAAAAGAACATTTTAACAACCCAACAACAAGGAAACATTTATTTTGTGTGCTACAGTTTGAGTGTAGGGACCAGAGGGCAACTTTCAGAGCTGACTGTCCGCTACCATGTGACTCAGGAAACAAAGCTAGGTCGTCAGGCCTGGTAGCGTGTCTCTATCTGTTGAGCCATCTTACTGCCCCCAATTCCAGGGTCTTGAGCATGCTGAACATACCTTCTGTCATTGAGCTGCAGCCAACTCCTGACATTTTGTTTCCAACCAAGTTTCACTGCTCAGTGTCCATATATTCACTTACTTTCCTTTTCATTCCTTCTGACACCTCTGCCTTTCCATTCGGGATCATTTGTTTTTGTTTGAAATTTTCTTTAGGTTCTGCAAACTGAAGCCCAGAAACTGAATCTACACCACTGCCTTGTTTGGTTTGGGGTGGGGAGGAGTGTTGCTTTTTGGTTTGGTTGGTTGGCTGGTTTAGTTTAAAATAGGGTCTCAGTATGTAACCCTGGCTGGCCTGGAACTCACTCTGTAGACCAGGCTTCCCTCAAACTCATAGAGATCCACCTGCCTTTGCTTCCCAGGTGCTGGGATTAAAGGTGATCAATACTATGCCCAACTGTTTTTGGATTTTGTCAGACGGGGCCCAGGCTGGCCTTAAACTTGCTATGTAGCTGAAGATACCCTTCAGTGGTCATCTTGCTCCATCTTTCAAGTGCTGAGATTACAGCTCAGCAGTAGTGTGTTCTTAATCAAGTTTCTCTGGAATGCTTCCAGACTCACTCCGCCTATCTACAGTTGCTTTGCCCTTTAACCAAGAGTTGTAAGTTATAAGACGCTGTCCTATATGACCTGCAAGAGTCTTCTTTAGAGGAACGAACTTCCCCTACTTGAGTTTGCTTCTGTTCTAGCCTGCTAGTAAGATGTTTACTCTGTTGCACTAGCAGATAATTTTTCATTCCACTATTCCCAAGAGGTCAGTTTTCAGTTTGTCCTCACTCCTTGATGTTAGTTACTTGAATTTTGGGGGTGTTGAGGTATACATTTTTCTTCATTCTGCTAGGAGCTCAATGATAATCGTTCATCAAAAAAACAAACAAAAAAAAGCAAGCAAGCAAACAGCCAATGCTGGTGACAAATGTCTGTAGCATTGAGAAGCAGCAGCATGAAGACCAGAAGGTCAAAGCCAGCCTTGGCCTCAGAGTGAGTCCACCAACCCAAGTGACATGTGAACTTGCCTCAAAAAAAAGAAATTACAATTTGTGTGGTAGTATCCTCAGATCCCAGCTATTTGGGAGACTAAGACAAGATGAACAGAAATCCAAAGTGCCCTGGCATCCTACTGAGTTAAGGGCCAGCCTGAACTAACAGGACCTTGTGTTGAAGGTGGACAAAGTGGCTGAGTGCGTAAAGGTGCTTGTTGTGCAAGCCTAACAACCCGAGGTCAGTCCTCAGAACCAACTCAGAAAAGTTGGCCACTGACTCCACAGGTGCCCACATTCACACACACACAAACATAAATACAATGAAAGCGTGGCGGCCGGGCGGTGGCGGCGGTGGCGGCGGCGGCGGCGCACGCCTTTAATCCCAGCACTCACGAGGCAGAGGCAGGTGGATCTCTGTGAGTTCCAGGACAGCCAGGGTTACACAGAGAAACCCTGTCTCAAAAAACCAAAAGAAAAAAAAATTGTTAAAGAAATACCTTTTCAATGGTTGTGTTGTTCTGATTATAATTCTACAGAGTAAACTAGGTCATGCATTCAATAACACCAACTCAATACATGCTATGTGGGTAGAAAGTGCTTTGAAGAATACAAAGATGACTGAGACATGGTCTTTGGTCTAAGAGTATGTCTAGTTTCTTGAGGGCAGGGAACACCCCTCACATACACAATAAAGAGAAGGCACAGCACAAATAAGAGTTGGTGGTTTATAGAAAATAATTTTAGTTATGAAATTAAGGACATTTGAAGTAAAAGGATCATTTAGGATAGTTTAAAAGTTCAACCAAAAGATTATCAATGGTGCTTGCTTCTGTAGGACTTAACGATAAAACTGAACAATACAGAGATGATTAGTATGGCCCTGCACAAAGAGGACATGCAAACTTGTGAAGTGTTTCATATTTTTTTAATCAGGTAAAATTATAATTTTAGTAGTTATATTTCTACACTTTTGACTAGAGTTAAATATTTCTTAGTGAATGCAAATTGCTATTTATAACATAGGAAATATCATGCAATTGCATAATCATTTCTTCTATGAACTGTTCAGTCCACAAAATTTAAAAATTGTCTATTTTCCTGAAATGCTAAACTAGTTTATCAGTTTCACTGGGATTAGTACTTGAAAGAAATATTAAATGTTACAATTCCTCTCCATGTAGGAGGAAGGTTGAATTTTAAGATACTTAAGGCATTTTACCCTTCATGTGGCTTCTGAAAACTAGTAGAGCATAAGAACTTGAACTCAGTACCATGAAATTGATATGTTCCCGGTACTGGTTCTGTTTACTCTTCTCTTTAACTTCTGAAAACTCTGCATTGTAGATCTTCAGGATTGGAGTAAAGAATTGTCAGTAAATAGTTTTTCTTTTAGCAGGAAAAAGAGATTATCACTGCTTGCCTGGGGCAGCCAACGTGAAGACAGAGGAATAGGAAGCATAGAACTTGCAGAAGCGGGATGTGGCAGAGTAAATATAGAGCAAGGAGACCAATACCAAGCAGAGGCCACGTTTTCTATTTAATTAGCTGAATGCAGTAGAACTATGCTCAAATTCAGGTTAAAAGGTAGAGAAAGCTGGGCTGGAGAGATGGCTCAGAGGTTAAGAGCACTGACTGCTCTTCCTAGAGGTCCTGAGTTCAATTCCCAGCAACCACATGGTGGCTCACAACCATCTGTAATGAGATCTGGTGCCCTCTTCTGGCATGCAGGAATACATGCAAATAGAATACTGTAAACGTAACAAATAAATAAATCTTAAAAAAAAAAAAAAAAAGGTAGAGAAAGCTGACAGTAGTAGGAGGTAGATGTTAAGGTGCTCTTTGATTCCCCTCTTCCTGGAGTTCAGCTGTGGCCATCATCCTTAGGAGCCTGCTTATCAGGCCTAAGAAAGTAATAGCTTACTGTTAATAGCTTACTGCTTGACATTATTTAATTCATCCCACATCTTCATGTATCCCCTTAACTCTCCTCAACCTTATTCCATCTATTTCCTGCCAGGACCCTAACACATCACAGTTGGGTACTTTTATAAAAGACAGGCACACTGGACCAGCAAGTAGGTAAAATCACTTACAGCACAAGTCTAAGAACCTGAGTTCAAGTCTCTGGATCCTACTGTGGAAGGCGAAACTCCCTAAAATTGTCCTCTGACCTCTCTACCTGCATGGTGGCACATAAACACCTGCACTCATACCTATCATACAGTAAGAAAGTAAAAATTTAAGATCCACACCCATATATTTAATTCTGGGTTTGTCTAGTGTGGGGCGTTTACCCACCAACCCCACAGCTCCCCAGGGTTTTCTTGAGTTCGAGCACTAGGAAATATTAGAAGGATTTATATTGCAGAAATAAACAGATAGAAAATACAGGATAGCCTCGAAAGGGCCTGGAACCTTTTCCAACGGCCCTGACTCTCTCTGCCTCAGGGTATTTATAGAGACACCAAGGGGTGGAGCAAAAGACCTCCTCCCCCAGCACAGCCAAGTGCAGACCATCTCAGACACCTGCACTCAGGCCCGTGGTCCTAATCATCCTCTATGCGGACCTGCTGGGTAAAGCCATGAGGAGCCTGAAAACGGGCTCCCACAGTCTAGACATAGGAAATATGTAGAAAGATGCATAGTAAACTTAGTAATGCTTACCACAAGTAATGGAAATGGGAGAAGAGAGAAGGGATAAATATGGGTGTTACATTTATGGTATTAAAATTCCTTAAGACACTAGGTTTGCATTACTTACTATTTTTATATTTTAAAAAATTTATGTTCAGAGCTTGGCATGGTGGTACTTTAATTCCAGCATTCTGGAGGCAAAGCCAGGTGGGTCCCTGAGTTCAACATCCGCCTGGCCTACATAGTAAATTCGTGAGACTCTATCTCAAAAATAGGCAAAAGCAAAACAGTTTATTTTTTTTAATATGTGTGTGTGCACATAAGTGCAGGTGCCTTTAGAGAGCAGAGGTGCTAGATCCCTTGAAACTAGAGTTATAAAAGGTGGTTGTCAGCTCCCTGACATGGGTGCTGGGAACCAAACTCAGATCCTCTGCAAGACTAGTACACACTCCTGACCACTGAGCCATCTCTCCATTACTTAAAAAAAAAAACAGAAAAAGAAAACTCTAGGTATAAATCAGACCAAGCACATCAGGGACTAGGGATAGGCTCACTGATTAAAGTTTGCACAGATCCCTAGCACCTTCATAAATCGTCATGGCAGTGCATGCTTCTAACCCCCAAGCTGAGGAACAGAGACAGAAGAGCCTGAGGACTTGTGAGTGCTCTCAGTTCAGTGAGAGATACTGTCTCAAGAGATGAGGTGGAGAGGTACTTGAGGAAAGCACCCTTGTGTCCCCCTGCCTCCACACGAACCTGCATGTGCGAGAGCACTAACACACTAGAACAAGAATTAATCTGATAAAAACTTCAGCAAATTCACTTGAAGCCCCCTCCAGTTTTATTTCCCTAACCACTCAGTCAACAAAAGACACACACCAAAACAACAGCAAAGAAGCTACACTTTACAAAATATTTAATAAATACACAGTGGTAGAAATGGTTGGATTCTTGAATGAAGGGGCATCTGAGGACTCTCTCCATCACGGCTCCCAGCCCTTCCCTCCAGGCTGATGGGGTAACTGGAGACCCACCAAACCAGCAGACTCCTCCACTGAACGCTCACCCTTGCCATGAAATTCTTGATGGAGGGCCACATGTTGCCGGATGCTGCGCAAGAGGCAGAGATAGGTGGCAGCTTGGAAGTGAAGCTCATGCTGGGCTCTGCACAACTTCTCACTGGTGACCTAAAAACATCATTAACAAAGTCAGATGGTCTGGTACCACCCCGAAGTAGCCACATGCCCCCAGTGGACGATCTGATAAATGAGCTTCGTCTACAAAGTAACAGAATACAGATACACTTGATATGTAGTTAATATCTTCATAGAGCACTGTGTAATTAGGAAAGCTGACCTCCGGTTTGATATTGTTTTGTCACACAAAGATTCATACATTCCTAGCATCTGCTTCCTACCACAGGTTTTATTTGTAATTCAAACACCCAACACCAAGAAAACTAGCAGCAGTCTGGTGGTGGCGGCCCACACCTTTAATGCCAATAATCAAGGAGGCAGAGGTAGGTGGATCTCTAAGTTCAAGCCCAGCCTGATCTACAGAGCAAGTTCCAGGACAGCCAGGGTTACACAGGGAAACCCGGTGTAGAGGTTTAAAAAAAAAAAAAAAAAGACATGCTTTTCCTCCCTTTAAACAAATTAAGGCTGCTTTGTGTTTCCATGACTTGAACATGGCATATACCTTTAGTATGGGGATAGGGGGTGTATTAAAGAAATCACTGAAATGGTCACTCCATAGTGTGGTTTGTTGGTTTGGGTTTTGTTGTTGTTTGGAGACAGGGTTTCTCTGTGTAGCCCTAGATGTCCTGAAACTTGCTCTGTAGACTGGGCTGTCCTGAAACTCACAGGCCTGACTCTGCAGCCATGTGCCACTGCCACCACCAGGCTTATGGTGTGGTTTTTATTGTGAATAAGAGAAAATATCCAGAGGCATCTGGAAGAGTCCAGAGCAGAAAGAAAAAGATGCAGTAGACTGAACATGGCTAGGGCCACGAAAGAGCAAAAGACAGTGGATTTTGAGGAAAATGAATAGGTGGGGAGAAGGAACAGAGTGAGCTGGAACCACCTGGGAGCTGGGGTGGTGGTGGCATATAATGGGGCCAGGATGCTAGTGTAGGGGTTTGAAATGTATAACAAGTACTTATGAGCAGGGACTCTGATGTACAACCACAGATGCAATTCAACAGAGAGCCAGGTCTCTTCTGCCAGGAGTAACAGAAATGACTCCTTTGTGGGGTAGAAAATCTGTTTCACAAGTTCCTGAGGAGTACTGGCTCTTATATAACCTCCAGAAATCCTTATGTAGTCCAGCTTGAGCTCATTTCTGGATATATGGACTTCCTGAAACCTAACACCTTACACTCCAAAATCAGAAACTTATCTCAAAAATAAAGGTGCTGTACTCAATAACAGTAACATGAAAATCATATATATGTATGTATGTATGTGTGTGTGAAGTAAGTATGTTTTCATATTACTTAAACTTGTTTGTATAATTTAACCATCTGGAAAATCTGGATTCTAATGACTTTAACAAACTAGAAAGTCCATATTAATGTCCAGAGTAACTCCAAATCATGGTTGTTCTTCAAAATACTTGATTTTTAGTACTCTGCCCTTAACTATTTTGGGATTCCAAGGTTGTGAAAAAGGAGCAGGAACATCAAGAAATTGTGTATGGATGGGGATGTGTTTTACCCCTGGCACCACTGTATGTATAATTCCTTTTCTCAATCTGAATATCCAGTTAAAAATCTGAAAACTCGAGCATGTAATATTTAATGTACTACCAGAAGCACTCCCCTGATGGAATTAAAACTTTTTTAGAGACAAGGTCTTACTATGTAGCATGGACTGGCTAGATATGTGACACCACAATCATACCTGGGTCAAACTTAGTGTAGGGGGTGGGGGTGGGGAGAGTTCTTCTTTGAGAAAATGGTCTCACTTCTTATCCTAGCTGGCTTGAAAGTCACTGTCAGTAGGTAAGGACACTTGCTGCCAAACTCGATGCCCTGAGTTCAATCCCCCAGAACCCCTCAGTAGAGAAAGAACTGACTCCCCTACAGATTGTCCCCCGACCCCCACATGTTTGGCATGCACACCACCCCAAAAAGTAGATATATTAAAAGATGAGCCGGGCGGAGGTGGGGCATGCTTTAATCCTCGAGAGGCAGAGGCCAGCCTGGGTTACAAAGTGAGTTCCAGGAGAGGCGCCAAAGCTGTACAGAGAAAAACCCTGTCTTGAAAAACCAAAAAAAAAGATATCCTACTG